TCATTTTTGTGAAGAACTCGCATGAGTTGTTTCAATCACTCAACTTCTAGTTGTAAAGGTTAAATACCAGCATGTAGAGGGCCTGAAAATGAGTTCTTACAGGATCAGACAACCTTAGGTGAAGCCTCCGTGACTCGGCAACGCACTCGCTACACCATGCATGTCCAAACAACCTTTTTTTGCTCGATCGTCGTCGAACATGTCTAAACAAACTTGACACATTTTTTGCTCGACTGTCGGCGAACATGTCGAAACAACCACGGATGACAAAATGAATCGAGCCGACGCGTCCGGAACCTTAATTTTAGCCGGGAAGAACACTCATATTGCCAGGGCTACGAACGCGCACAAATGGCACGAAAATCGATGCACATTTTTTTTAGTTGGACGCGGGCCTGGACTCAACCCATGTTCGACTCAGACTCGATTTGAATTAAACACCAGCTCACAGAATTTCAAATTTTAAATTTTAAAATTCAAGTGGAGCAGTTAAAACACATTATTTGAAAATAATTTAGTGTTAAATTTTTCTAATTGAGTCGGCTACATCAAAAGAAACTATTCAATTCCCCGCCAAAGCTTTCACGTAATAGCTCCCTCCAATCTTCGGCTATACTAGTTGACCTCCCCCGTAACCTTCAATCACTCAACTCTCCCGCTCGTCCCGGCCTCTCTCGCCTAAAACCTCCTCTGCGCCGAAGAACCCCACTCACTTACCCACTGCCTCCTGCACCGAAGTCCTTCGCCTCCTCTCTTCCTCGCGCGACCGAACAACCATTCGGTTCGCATTCCCCCTCTATGCCAGAAAATACTCGTTGGCTCCCTCCTTCCCATTCGACCTCCCCTCCGCCTCTCTTCCTTGCTCGACGGTAGGATCCCGTTTGCCCCTCTTCCTCACGCAGAGGAAGCATTTGCTCACCTCACTATACAAAAACACTCGTCGGCTCCCTCCTTCCCATTCAACCTCCCCTCCGCCTCTCTTCCTCGCTCGACCGAAGCTGCTCGTATCCTCCTCTCCTCACACTGCTGCAACTCCTTTCCCTGAGGTGAAGGCTTTCCTCTATCTGGTATGTAAAACTAACAGTCATTTTTTTGTTCTTTCTAAAGGGTTTTTTTTTATCTGATTGAAATTGGGTGGTGTATTTATGAAATGGAATTGTGAGGTTTTCTTCACTTTTTGATTGGGATGGAAATTCGGATGTTAGATATGTAGAATATAAGGATTGAGTGGCATGCATGTAAATTTTCCACGAATTTATGGTGCTAACCGTTTAAGTAAATTAACAAAATTTTCGTGAGGTGCACCTTGAGACCAATCTGATTTCATTAGTTACACAGACTCTATTTGAAATTATTTTATGTTGAGTAAACCCTTCATGCATACGTTTATGAAACTGATACTAAACTTTGGGTGTTAGGGATGTAAATGCATAGCACTTGCGTGAGGTGTATGTAAATCTGTCAAAAGATTAAGGGTCTGTTTGGGGCAGCTGCAGTTTATTGAATAATCTGCTGATAAGCTAATTAAAAATAATCTGCCGATAAGCTAAGTGTGGTGGCTATTGCAATTTTTTTTTTTTTTTGGAAAAACAGGACCGTAACCAGAGAACTGTCACCGCACCTAGATAGGTGCGGTGTGGTGTGAAAATATTATTTTCAGCATTTTGAAAACGCGTAAGCTGTCAAAACGCAGTTTACCCAAATATGTCAGGTGTGTTTTGAAAACGTCACTGCACCAAACAAATTTGCCCCAAACGGACCCTAAGATTGTCATGTTGTGAAAGTGAACCTTGCTTGTGGTTAACACCAATCATTATGAGCTTAGAGGTGACCATTGCCCAAAAACCGCCTAACATTGTTGTAAGAGGCTGTAGGAAGAGTCTAATTTGTTGTTTGGAGTCGCCGATTGCTGTAGGAAATTGTAGAAAGTCTTAGGATCAACTGTTTGGAGTTCCTAGCTACTATTACTAGTTGTTCTGCTGCTTACTGCTTTGCAGGTACATTTTATTTATTCTCATTTTATTTACTGTAATTTACTCTTGCTCTAACACATCATGCAGACACTGGTTGCGATTTCATTTTCAAAACAAAATAATTTTCAAAAGTTAAACAACATTTTCAAAACAAAAAACCAAAACAAAAACATAACACGTCCTTTTGAATTTACGGGAGTCCCTCGGAGGAGGTAAACCACGGTTGCTAATGAGATCTCTCAGGTTTAAATGTCATAATTCATTTAAGCTAAGTAAATTCAAAAGAAAACAGGTAAATTCAAAAGAAAACAAAAGAAAACAGTGATACCGGAACGAGGGAACCGTGGGATCCTAACCAATGTCGCTCTAATCAACTTTAACCCCCCCCATAACGACAACAAAACCAAGACTTTAAAACACACCTGATAAAACTTTTTGAACCTTAGACTTTAGGACTACTACATCGACGAGGAGCTTGGAATCAGTTTTGTGGACAGCGCGATAAGGAACTTAGAACGAACTACAAGTGAAGGTGGTCGTCATTCTACAACAGCAAAACAAGTCTAAACCAGTTAAACTCTCCTTAGTCTAAACAATAATCTATAGAACTTCAATGTAGCTCGCCCAGCGCAACATAAATCCTCACTCTCTTTAGGCTCTTGTACAACCATATTGTGCAGTGTAAGTCCTAACTCGTCTTAGATTTTGAGGTTGTCATGTGGTATAACGTAAACCCTCTTATCTTTGCGGGCTATTTGCATAATAGAACATTATACAAATGTAAGTCCCAAATAATAAAATTGGCAACATTAAATACTTAAATAACATCGTCTCCAAAACTCAGTCACACATTAGGATAATTTGGAAAGTTGCTGAGGTTTCTCCTCAGAATCTGTAACATCTCCTAACTTTTCATTGTTTGGATTCTTGAAAATAATTGTTCCTATTTATGTCACTCTCACTTGTATTTCCACGTCCTACCGTGAAAACCTAAGCTTTGAAATCTTGAAGACTAGTACCTCTGATCATCATCGAGAGCTTTCTCAAGCGACCCCCATCATTTGGATGTAATTAACAATAGGGTTTGTCTCTATAGGGAATTTGGAACTCGGGTAAAATAAACTTTATTTAATCTTTATATTAAATATAGGAATTTTTCGGCCACATAAAAAGGTTTCACAGGCCAAACGGATGTCACAAATCTCATAGTTTGCAAGATTGGATCCATGATTGGGTCTATCGCCGAGGTCTATACTTATCTTTCGGGAAAGTGTAGTATTCGCGGTATCTGGCACAATTATGCAAATTATTAGACGAATGAGATATATTTGATCTCATTTTTTTTTTCAAAATTAAAACATACTAATTTCAAAACAAAAATTATATATCTCTTATATTAAATTAAATTTCAAAATTATTTTCGATTTTCAAAAAGTTGACCGACAATTTGCTCTACCAAGAAGGTTAAATTCTCAAAACTTTGTTGAGAATTATCCTGGCACTTAATGTTAACGAACTGAAACCTAATCTAGTGACTGATAACACTAAAAAAACTAAAATTAGCAAGCTGTGATAATTAATTTCATGTGATCTAGTTAAATGGTAGTTTAAACAACCTAGACAATATAGACAACTACTTGTTAGGAAAAAAAAAATGAGCATCTATCAAATACATCTTAACAAAATTTTTAGCATAAGTGTTAACATTTTTTAGGATTATATTTGAAATGCATTAATTTATACAGTTGTTGAGAATTTAACTCAAATATTATGGACCACTCCATGATCATACTAATTTCAAGCTTCCATCAAACCCAAATTAAAACTTATGTCCAAGCTCAACTTGAATCAAACTTGGATTACGTAGGGCAAACCAAATTCAGTTAGCTCCGGATTGAATATATGAATAGATGTATATTTAACTTCATTTATGTATAATATATGTGGCCTATTATTCATATGTATGCATCAACGCAAAAAAGCATTGTCGTGTATCAATGCATGCATAGATGCATGTATTTTTGCAAGAGAATATTGAAAATTAAATCAAAATTTGGCTTGAATTAAGCTCTAGTCAAATTTACCTAACCAAGCCTACCAAAGATCAATATCACATTTAGCTATCTTATAGCAAGGCATCTCTAAAATCAAGATCGAAAAAAAAAAAAAAAAAAAAAAAACTAAACTTGAGCTATGATCATATCAAGTCGAATCATTCATAGTCCTAATTTTAGTTTAACATTGTCATCACCAAATGCAGAAATATTAAGAGAATAATGTCAACGAAGCTGACCTCCAAAAGTTCAAAATATCTACAAAGAATGACCATGACAGAATATTTTAATTTCACATCCAAATTATATGTAAAATTTGCTTCCCTTTTACAAAATATTAATAAATATATATATATATATATATATATATTTATTAATAATTATCACATTTTATTTTAAAAAATCAAAATTTCTCACTAGTTTCACTTATGTAGCTCATTGAATATCCATATTTGGATAATGTTTTACGAAGTAATCCATGAAGGAACATGCATTTGGTGGTCGTGTTTTGTTGAATTAATTAAGGCCAAAAAGAACTATCTAAGAGAAATAATCATCATCATCATCATTAACCTTCTCAAAGCTAATTGGAATAAGCTTTTCAAAATCTTTATTCTACATTTGTTTGTGTTCAATTTTACATTAACTAAACCTACTCTAAATAATTTTTTCACATTATCATAGGTCTATTCAATTCTGTTATTAATCCATAGGCACAAAAACCTTCCAAAATGTCCTTAAAGCTATATCTCTACCCTTTGTTGTATATGTTTAAATCACATAAATCTATTTTTCACTGTCTTATCATCAAAAGAAGCTACTCCCCACACCCCTTTACTACAATCATTCATTGGTTTATCATTTCTAATTATGACACAAATTAATAATAACATTCTCATTTCTATCACATTTAATTTATGGCATTTGAGGCACTTCAAAATTTTAATGGTTCAATGTAACCAAAAATACTTACTTTTGTTCTTTTGCCTGGGTTTCCTCCTTCCCCATCCTGCAACTCTTCGGTGACCTTGCTAAATCGCTTGTTCACATTTCTAGATTTTCGTGCTGAAGCCATCAAATAATATTTATCCTACAGATGAAGGGAAAAAAATTACACAAATTATAGGATGTATGGCTATAACCTCAAATAAAATGAAAGCTATCCATTCAGGGTAATCAATCATAAACAAGCACGAAATAAGATATCAAAATTCAGTTACATCTATAAAAAGTAATGAAGCAAAGAAAAGAGGGCAAATCCTAATTAGAGATCAAAACTAGAAATGCTAAGCAATTAATCATCATAATCATCCACAATAAATCAGCTGCTAAGAATAGTTTAACCAAATGAAGTTCTCAAAGGAAGCTAAACCGTAGTCAAAGAACTAAGGCTAACACATTCAAAGTCTTAGAAGTCTGCAGAAACATTCATATTCCTCAACAATTCAATATGAATAAACTGTACCATCTCCCAATAAAAAACGAACCCCTTAAATTGCAAAACTCAAAAGATATGGGACAGCGTACTAGATGGTAAGTTGAAACAAATTGATATTGATTTCCATTATCTACTTGTGCTTCTTCGAACAATAAGAGCAATTTAGGGTGGCTTGAAAATTATCTTGGATGAAAACTTTAAGGGTGCTATGGGACCGCTTTTTCAGAGACTTACAAATTATTTTCAGTTTTATTTGGCAACTACTTTCTTGTTGTTTTTTAAATTTTTTTTGTAAGGACATAGTTTATCACGACCAAATCTAGGGCATAGAACTTTTTAAGAAGATCAGCCTTTATCAAGATAAAAATATTATATAATACCCATAGATGCTTTTAGCTAGTTTTCCAATGATAGTTTCATAACTAATTAGAAAGCAAACTACAGGCATCCCAAAAATACCTTTATTGCATGAAGACTAGACATCATCTCGGTAGTTTCGTAGAAAGTTACTCCTGGATTTTACTTTCAAATTTAATTAATTAACTAATTTAATTTATTATAATTGCAAAAAATTGCTCAATTATCTTAAATCAATAAAAAAGCAGTTTTTAAAAAAATGTTTCAACTCTTATGGCACTTTAGATAGTAATTTAATATGATTTTATCAAGCAATCATGTGCTTTGCTTAACAAGACAAAACTATAAAGTGCAGCATATTAAAAGTGGCAATCACAAAATAACCATTAATCCAAATGGCTTTCCTTAAAATAAGCCCTTCAATTTAGAATCCAGTAAAACTCAGTCTAAACCATTCAATAATTCATCAAGATACCATCAAGTAACTTCAAATGAGTAAAAGGCTTACTTACTTCATCGCTTCTATAAAAACTTCGACATAGAAAATTTAAATAAGGAAAGTTCCCTAAAGCACATCACTTAAATTTAAAAAAGCATTAAAAAGTTGTAGAAGACTTGAAACAATGAAATTGAAAGAATTTATTCAAAATTTCCCGAAATTGCTAGGAAACAATAAAGTTAAAAGGCCAAAGAAATATTACACTTCATAGAGATTCCAACATTGAAATGGACTCAAAGAACTGGTTGACAACCAATGCAATAGTAAAATCAAAGTATGATTCACGAACTTGATAGCATAGGACAACAAAAGTGATAAAAACAAATATAATCCAATTATAAATAAATGTAATCTTATCATTGACTTACAATCTATAGTAAAAATTCTAAAATAACTGAAAACAAGGTAAGCAGCAAATATTTAAAGAAAAGGCATACAAAAATTGCATGAAAGGCTAGAGAGGAGTTCAAAAGTGAGGACAGCATGTATTAAAGTTATAAAATTTCAATAGAAGAATCCCAATACATGGAATCCCCACTACTGTGGCATCTAGAGAAGATGAAGAACACATACAATATATTTAGGCGGGCACTCTTCAAGTTTTCAAACTGCAACCTCTTGATTATACTTGAGAGAGCCAAAACATTGCTCCTAAGATTGCCCTATAAAAGAATTATAAACCTTAAGGGTATTCAAATCACCCTCCTGTCTCAATGCAGAAAGAGAATGGACCAACTCAGACAAAACATGTGCAACATAAGCCACAAATTATCAAAATATGGATAACTCCCATAAACAAAAGGTGCTGGACTAGTCTATTGGTCACTTAGAAGTCGTACGGAGAGGTTGAAAAGGGACTGACGAAATAACAAGTCCATCAAAAGAGCAGACAGAAATAAGCAAATTTCCTCATCATTAGACCTCGATAGGTCGGTCATTGGCTTCGTAAGAGAATCAGATTAAGGCTTACAAAAGCGGCACCAAAAAAACTTCAAAATATACAGACATAAAAAATATTGAATATTAAATTATGGAGAGCGCAGAAATTTAGTCCTTGTAAATAAAACACTCATCACACTATTGAACAGGTTGTGAAATCAGTCACTGCAAGGACAAGCTGTGACGAGGGCACAAGGTATAACAGGATAAACTCATACGCCTAGTTTACCAGCACCCTTCAATTGGTTCTAAAAAACATTTCAGAAGCGGCAAAACTTGGAAAAATATAAACAAGGTTCAGTTCATGATTTTGAGAGTTCCTTACCAAAATAGACTTAGGTTGATTTGTCCATCGGGTTAAATGGCTCCCAAAACAAAACCTTCTCAATGCTTTACGCTTCTAACTGCAATGACACCCATAACAGAAAGTTTGCAAGTAATAAAAATAATTACACCCAAATGAGATTTAAGTTTACTTGAAATGTCGATCTTCATAACGTGGAAGAAAAAAAAAGGAAAAAGTGAATAACCACGAACTGAAGAAATGTGCGCAGGGAAGATTCTAACAACAAACTAAAGTCAGCACAAGGAAAAATTTTTTCATACAGAGTGCGAACGCAGCTCTGCGTAAGGGACTCCAGTAACATGACATCACGTGTGCTACACCGGGCCCACCTCATAAACATTGTGCGAGGGTTATTGAAGTGGAACAGCTGAGATTATTGGCGCAGTTCACCACGCGGGGTTATTGCGGGAATATTGGAGTTATTGCGGCGTTATTAAAGCGGTAATTTAGATTATTCTGCGGGGTTTATTGAAGGCTTATTGCGCCGTTATTCAAGACTTATTGAAGTTGTTCTGCTATGATTATTAAAGTGGAACCACTGAGGTTATTGGAGCGGTTCACCTCGCGGGATTATTGAGGGGTTATTGCGGCGTTAGTGAGGACTTATTGGAGTAGTTTTGTAGGGATTATTGAAGTGAAACTGCGGTAGTTATTAGAGCGGTTTACCGCATGGTGTTTATAAGATGGGCCCGGTGCAGCATACGTGGCGGCATATTACTTGAGTCCGCGCATAGCTGTGTCCGCACTTCGTATGAAAATTTTTTTTGTTAGAGAGATTCTTTTGTGGATGAGTATAGTTGAATTTGATTAATTCATGTTGAAATGTTAGTTGATAAAATTAGAGGGGCACACAATAGCGAGGTATCTTCGATGACTGAGGTCATCAATTAGTAATGTGGTGCAGTTAGAACCGTTTTTGTCCCTACTCGACTTACAAGCCCTCGCTTTGAAGGAGTAACAATATTACCAAATGACTACCACCCCTTACAGATAGAGTTCAACCACAGGATCGGGTAGCAAGTTTAAGCCCATCGGAGCATCCAAGTTGACCTTGTCACGGTTCACCGTACGGGTTATTGTGGGGTTATTGCGGCGTTATTGAAGCAGTTATTGGAATTGCTCTGCAAAGGTTATTGAAGGGTTATCGCAGCGTTATTAGGGACTTATTTGAGTTGTCATGCGGGAGTTATTGAAGTGGAACCACTGGTGTTATTGGAGTGATTCGTCATACAGGGTTATTGAGGCGATATTGAACTGATTATTGAAATTGTTTTGCGGGGGTCATTGAAGGGTTATTGCGGCATTATTGATGACTTATTGGAGTTGTTCTGTGGAGGTTATTGAAATGGAATCGCTGAGGTTATTGAGTTATTGTTGGGTTATTGCGACATTATTGAGGACTTATTAAATTTATTCTATGAGGGTTATTGAAGTGAAACAGCGGAGGTTATTAGAGCGGTTAACCGTTTATGAGATGGGTCCGCTGTAGCACATTTGGCGGCATATTACTGGAGTCCGCACGCAAAGCTGCGTCCGCACTCCATATGGAAAAATTTATCCAGCACAGGAGGAACACATGTTTCAGTAACTTAATTTCAAAACCAGAATGTTTAAAGAGATCAAGTGCTGATTCCAAAAAAAAAACAAAAAAAAAAAAAAAAGAGAGGCGGGGATGAGACGGGAAGGTAGGAAGGGAGGATACCGCAGCAGAGCAGCCGCGGTTGGAGGTACAACAATCCCTGGTCTAAGACAAAATAAAAGGAAGAAATGAGACTAAGCCAGAAGCAAAAAACCAGATGCGTGCTCAGCAGCAACAGTATGACTTCGTTGAAAAAGGGTAAAGTTGGGAGTCACTGGCTGGTGGTCATGAAAGCTTTCAAGATGGTAGAAGAAGTCAGCCCCGGGAGCTTAAAAGGCTGTGGGAGCCAGTTACCGCAAGAAGCAAAAGATGACGAATGCTGCGGGCCTGTCTGGTAACGGATTTAGAGCAGGATTTAAGATGGATTTAAGCGAAATCTTGCAAGACGGTCACTTTGGACAAAATAAAGCCTTGGATTTGATAAATCCTTAAATCCTGGTTTTACTAAATCTCGTAAATCGGTGGATTTAGTAAATCCGGGACGGGCGCTTCGCGCCAAGAAAAAGACGTGAAGTTACCTTCCTCAATGGTTTCGGTAGGAAAGGAGCAGAGGAGGAAATACATGGGAGTATTGGGTCTCTTTAAGCCACGATCCCGACGTCCCCAGCTAGCTCCAATTGCCACTGTATCGCGAGGGTTCGGTGCGAAGGCGATTGCTTCGGACGAAACAGAGATGGAAGGAGGGATATGCGAGGGTTTCGGGATGGAAGCAATGGGCGAGGGCTTAGAGGAGAGAGGAGTAATCTTTGGGAGGTTTTCATTAATTTTATTTAAGTTTTTTTTTCTTAATATAAGTTTAATTAAGTTAATTTTATTAATTTAATTGTTTGATTAATAATAATTAATTAAAAAATTATCAGATTATTAAATTTAAATGAATTTATTTATTATTTAATTATTAATTAAATAAATAAATATAATTTTTTTATTCATTCAATAAATTTATAAGGAATATTAACTTATATAATTAATCACTAATTAATTATTCTTTTGTAAATATTTAATTAATATTTGATAACTAACTAAATAAAAATTATTAAGTAAATACATCATTATTAATTATCATATTTTGAATAAAATATTAATTGAATTTAAGATGCTAGTTTGGCTATTTTGGGATATTTTAAGAAGTCGAATTTACAAGATTACTAGATCCTATTATATTGAATATTTATATAATATAAGTTATATAATTATAGCAACCACAAGAATATGTTGTTAGAGTAGCAATTATAACAGATTGTTAAATCCTTACATAAATTGTCAAGCAATTTCACAAGATTTAATAGGATTTATTAAAATCATTACCAAACAGTTTTTGAAGATTTAGCCCTTTCAAGATTTATTAAATTCGGATTTACAAGATTTATTAATTCCTACTAACTTGAATCTCATTTGTCCCTTAAAGAACATAGATAGATAGATGATCAATGAAATACTTTCGACTATAATAAAAAACACTAATATCTACCACCAAATTCTATTTTCTTAATACCCACAAGTCCATGGAAAACACGAATAATACTTTCCTCCCAATATTATCACCTTTCAAATCATGATGTCAAAAATAAAATAATAAGAAAATAATAATTTAATCCAAATAAAACTTAGTGCCTTCGATAATATAATATAAATGGAACGCAATGAAAAGCGAAACGATCAGATAAACTATTTGGAACGCCAAGGTATATCGACGTAATCATTCGTGCATGCCTCATTAAAATTTAGTCTTTGTCACGTCATTTAAACTCCCAAGGCGCTAACAAAAAGGAGCAATGAAGCAAAGTATTTTAAGGGCATGTTTGTTTCAGCTTTTTGAATCACGTTCGACTCTAAATTGTGTTTTATCACTGCTTGAAAATGAAATTTCACAGTTTCCATTCAAGAATGTCGTTCTGAGCAAAATTAGGGATGTGAACGCAACAAAGGGTCTATGTTTGGTGAGTTTGTGAATAGTTTTCCTCTCGTGCCCTAGGTCTTCAACCTTAGCGTGCCCTAGACGATTCGATATCATTGTTTCCTTCCCGAAGAGAGATCTTCGATCTTGTCACCCTAGCATTGTCTTCCCTCTTGATAAGGTCAGCTACCAAGCGATAAACCGATAAAAACCCTGGCTGTTGAGTCAATCTTCCTCTACTCTATCGTTGAATACTTATATTTCTTTCACATCTTCCTCAAACAGGTGTTGTCAATAGAATTAGCACTAATTTTTTTCTTCACATGAAGGAATCAAGTGTTAGATCTTATTTTAGTATATAGAAGAGAAGAGCTCTGCATTGCTCATTTCAATTATCTAATCAGCCCCCTTTCTCTCCCTTATTATTTGTTGATGAATCATTATCAGATTTTGTTTTTTTAATGGCAGCAAGTGGTTTTCTTTAATAGTTGAATTTGTACTTTTTAATTATTATCTTCTGTTGACCATGAATTATTTTGAATTATTATTATCATATGTTTCCTTGTAGGATTTGTCCAACAAAAATCAATATTTAAATTAAAAAACATTTGCATTGGCCTACTTGAATTTCAAAGCATGGTGTTTTAGGTTGTTTTCAATATCTTAGGTGGTGGAGATTTTATAATGTTGAACATTGGTTTGCGTCTTATAGGAGGTGACGTCAGTAAAAAAATGGTTTTTGATGTAAACATAATTTCATTATTATTAATGGCAATTGTATCACCAAATCATACCTTCAGATTAAGAAATGGTTACTAATGTCAAAATATGATGAACAGTAATATCTAGGTTTATGATGTATTTGTGATCATGCAGTATTCTGATGACTTGGTTTATAAGATATTTATTTTTGAGGGATTTACAGACATGCCACACAATTTGTTTTTATCTAAATATTTGACATCTATTGTGCTTTAATATTTATTTTAATATGCACTAGATAGCCTAATGATTTTTTTAATATGCAGCAGGCCTAATTGTTTTCATGTGTCATTCTTATCATATTTCCGTAAACCATAATGTGATTGTCATGTGGATGGAGTTTATTTGGTGACACATAAATCTTTCTCTATCTTTCACTCTTGTGATATATATTCTTTGTATTGGGGAAATATGTTAGATTGGTAAATTAGTAGGACAAGTGTGGTATATAGGTATAGCTTGATGAAAGAAATAATCTATTTGTGCACTAAAGTGTTATAATCAACATCTTCAAATCATTTAAGATCATATAATATTTCAAATCATATATCAAGGTGCTAGATACCATAAAAACTGGACAATACAAGAAAATAACACATCTTCTACTATTTGGGAAAAAGAAACAAAAATAATTTTTTGTGACATTTTCTTGAGAGAGATTGAATTAAGAAATGGGCTGATAATGCATTTCAGCAATGAAGGTTGGCAGAATGTGACAAAATTTTTTTAAGAGAGAACTGGATGATTAGAAGTCAATTGAAGAACAAATGAGATCAACTAAAATACAAAAAATTTTGGAAAGAGCTAAAAGAAAGATCTACTGACTTGGTTGGGCTCCAATTAAAAATACCATAGATGCATTAGCATATTGGTTGAAGGAGAAATTATAAATAAAATAAAGTCTTAATCATATGTAAATGTTTGGTTATGTTATACGTAGAATTAATAAAAAATGTTTTTTTTTCATTTTGTTTTTATGAATGACAAGTTATGTTAAATGCTAAGAAATTTATGTTTAGTGGAATCAAGCCTAAGTTAAAGAATATTCTTGATCTCATGTTCAATGGTGTTGTTGTGACTAGTGTACATTCTTGAACTCCTCGAGATTCTCAAAACCTCTAGAGAGACAAATGAACACATTCAAAAATCATCACATGAGATAAATGAACACAGTGATTGTAGGACAATGTCCAACTCAGTTTAGAAGAGCTTGACAATCTTGAGGGTCTTAAGCTGCAAGCTGCACAAAACCTTAAGCTATATTGCACCCTGATGACCCAAGCTCATGATAGATTAGTGAGACCAAGGAATTGACAAGATCTATGAACGAGGGGCTTGATTGTTTATTGTGTAGATGGATCTCATCCAATGCCCCTATCAACAAGCAATATTTGAAAATATTTTATACTTCGTTTCTTTTGTTTGTGTTTAATCAATGTACTTTATAAGAGAAATGGATGTTCAAAGATTTTGAACTTTGTAATCCAATTTTGAGTAATAGAGAAGATACATTTCATTCAATATTTCTTTGTTATGTGAGCAACTTGTTGTGATTGTTGTGCAGTTGCTAAAAGATCACTTAGAGTTCACAGTGACTACATGTAAGAGAAGCCTTGAATTTTTCATGATTTGATTGTCTGTTTGCATTTCAGATAAGGTGTAAGTCTCATAGGACGGCCTATATCTGGTACGACCAACAAACAATATGAGAGAAGCTATACTCTTCTCTTACCAAGCCTCCCAGTGACCTACTTTATGCAGGGTCCAAAATTAGTATATTCTCTCGTCATGAGAAAAGTAGATACACATGTCCTGTTTATCCTGCATGATTGAGAAACACATGCTTGCCCCATTCACCATAAATGAGTATGGTGCATAGCTCTTCACGGATGCAGTTTGGCTAAAAAATTAAACATTTATACTAGTAGACCATTGGGGTTGTCTAGCCGTCTTTGAAATTTCCTTAGATATACATAAGTGATTCTTACCACTATGACAGGAAAAACATGTTGCATTGAACACAACATTTTGCTTACCTAGTCGATCCATGTCTGAGTAAGATACTTGCATAGCTGCAATACATCTCTAGTGGAATCCCCTTCCTAGGTGCATAACAAAGGTACCTTGTATAGGATGGACTGCCTTAATTTTCCTCAAATAAGGGCTACTCTATTTAGTCCTTGAGAAATCCCCAGTAAGGGTCTCTTAGCCAAAAATTTTAAAAGCACTTCAAAGATGAACCAGTGTGTTCATCCAACTCCTAAGGTCGATTCCATCATGGCACCTTCTCCGAAAGAAATGACCTCACTAGTCTTGAGGAATCCCTAACAGGACTCATTGCATCAAGTTCCTAATGAAGGTACCCCACATATGTTGGACCACTTAGTCCATCAGATTGTTTTCAGCAAGTATGACTGACTCAGATACTCCACTAGTTTGTTAGTAGACATGTCACATCAATTAGAGCATTGTGCTCATATAATTGATCCATGTCTAATTAGAACCTGATCAAGCTGCGACTTTTTCCTTGATAAGAACTACTTTGCTCATTCTTGAGAAATCCCCAGCAATTTAGCTTTGTTAAAGCTTATAAAAGCACCTCGAGGTTGGACCATCTCATGCATCCAACCATTTTTATACCTCTTTCATATTTTGATCAACTTAGCTAACTGTGTTCACCATGTTGAAAGACATGTCGTATCAGCATAAGCCTTTACTTGATTGGTTGATCCATGCCTAAGCAAGATATTTTCATGCCAAGGAAAAATCCCCAGTGATGGTCTTCTCATTTGTGCTTATACAAACTGCTTTCATGGTTAGACCACTTGGGTCATCCTACCCCCTTTGGTATTTTTGGCCAACTTGGTTGATTTTTCTCACCACACTGGAGGACATGTTGTATTAGTTAGAACACTTTAGTTATCTGACTGATCCATGTCTGGTTATGATATCGTAATATTTGATGATAATGCGATGCTACATGTAGTAAGAATCACTTATCTTGCTTCTTACCAATGAGTCTTAGATTGCTAGATTGCTATGTTCATATAAGCATATGATTCTTCTTGAACAATATGACT